TTCGTCCGGAAGAGGAATAATCTTCGGCTTGTTAGTAGAGTGTGCCTCTGCCTTGGATCGAACAACACTGAAAGCGAGGTAAGGCATGTTGGATGGCATATGTATTACTGTGTGCTTACTCTTCCATGGCCACGACACCTTCCTTCGGTTGGATTACGTCCCCAATCGCCCACGTTTCGATCTGTTGGATGAATTCAGTCAACTTATATGCCACTCCACAGAAGGTACACGCGCCTTGATAAACTTGTACAAGTTTCGTGGCCTTGTGTGCGAGTTCCGACGCCCAGTCGTCGCGAACTTTGACTTACTTTGCATCTCTGGCAAAGAATTCGTGCGCGAGTTCGTGCTGGACACTAGAGGTAGCGACGTAGTCCCGGTTCGCTGACACCGTAGCACGACGTCATTGAACACCACCAGCCACAAGTCCTTCTTCCCTCCTATACCAGAGCCTGACCCCAGAACATCGCTCAGCCGACGGAACGAAGTCTTACCCTTGACGTTCTTGGTAGCCATGACGGGCGGTGGACTCGATCCTTTAAGCGTTGCGGCCGAAATTAATCCATCCCGACCAATGTGAATTTGTCTTTCCTCCAAAAGCAATCTAGAAGGTTTTGGGATCGCTAGCTGCTTCACCTTATCGAGTCCCTCGATACGTGCGAAGACATCCCTCGTCTTATCACGGTCTTCTTTCTGGATTTTCTCGTCCTCGATACTTCGGACGATCGTCTCCACTTCAGCGACCATCTGAAGAGTGCTTTCATATTCGAACGTACTCGGGTCGGTGTGGAAGAGGAGGTTCTGAAAGAGGAGAGGATATTTGAGCAGGCGCTGAAACGGCTTCGAGAGTGTGATAGCAAGACCAGTCTCGCCTTTCTCGGCGGCGAGTTCTTCAAGGCGCTGCAAGGCCTTGCACACTCTGAACCATTCAGCAGCGTCCTGGTTTTTAGGCTTCTTGGCAGCACTAGCAGTGGAGAGGGCATTATCAACCTGCTCAAGCGCACGTTCGAGGTGGAGGACGTAGGTTGCGTAACCTTGGAAAATATGGGACTGTAATAAATTAACACGTGCACAGGGTTTCACAGTAACGGCTAACGTACATTCGTCACGAAGACGTCTGCAAGCGATCGCACGAGTGGATATTGTTCATCATAACGTTTTTTCAATCCTTCGCTGAGTTTAACATGACCATCAAGGACACCGCTCTCGATGACCTCGAGACATGTTCGCAAGTCCTCGGGGATGAGGTGCGGAGGAACAGCGCCTTGCAGTAAGCCATCTGGCTGTGTTTGTGACCGTTTAGGCTTGCGCAGAACACGGCTGTGCAGTGTCGGAGTCGTCTTCGAACTGTCCTTCCGCTCCCTATCTCTGTCTCGATCACGCTCAGCAACAGACTGGTGTCCCAGCGAGTGCGAAGATGCGTTGGCCTGGTGCATGCGCTGCTGAGGGGACAGAGATGCATGCGACCGCGATGGGAATGGCACCGATTCCTTGATCTTGCCGTTCTTACCTCCCATGGATGATCCAGCACGATACGGTGAACGAGGATGGTTGTGCTTCGCAGCCAGATTTGCACGATTGGATTGCAAACCATGAAGCCGGTCTCCTTCATCGTCCATGTCTGACTCGGCCGACTCGTCATCGATGTTCGGCGTGGTCGGCGCGAGGGACTTGGTTTCTGGGGTAGGAGCAGAGATGCCCTCGTAACGGAAACCTGTGGGAGACATGAAACGTGCAGCAATGGGGAGTACCTCAATGGACTCTTGGGGTGAGCCTAGTCGGGCAGGTGTGGATATATAATCGTCATACTCGAAGAGTGTGGGGGGCGTAGGAGATAGCGTAGCATAGGGATGGAGGAGTGGCTCGATGAAGGTATCTTTCATTTTCTGGAGATCGTTGACGTACCTGAGTTGCGTAAGAATGACAAATGAGATGTGGACACTGCGCGATTAGGAGATTGGAAACGTACCGTTCCTCGCTGGCAACGATCTCCCACAGAACTTCCTGTCTGGTCCGCTCGCGCGGACCGAGGTTACTCACGAGATCCTCCTCTGCACCCTCACTCCACGAGGTGACAGCGAGGATCCGCGTGCTAGTACTCGACATTTGAGAATATGGTGTCGCAGAGCGCACAGAACCAGGATACGGCGATACAACAGTCCGCGTTGATGTTGCTTTGGCGGAGAAATTTTGCGCTGCGGGGGGCGCGAGTGTAGTGGGGGTAGCGCCTGTACTCGTGGTGTTGGTGGTCGTGGTTGATTTGGAACCCAAGTCTGTACGTGAGGATGATGCGGCAGTAGAAGTAGAGCCACGCGTGTCCTTGCCATGTGTTGCCTGAAAACGTGAGACGGTCGTTTTGAGCAGAGCACTGGCGGGCGCTTGAGACGGTGATCCGGCGGTAGTGAGGCTGGTGGTCGTGTCTGGAAGGGGCTGTGTGGTTGAGGGTCCTGATGGTGTCGGTGGCGGAGAGATGAATGCAACTTTTTTCTGAATGTCTGCATTGGTTGCACTGACAGCGACAGAGCCATCGACGGCCTTGCGAGAACTGGACTTGACTGCTGGGGTTGTCGGATCTGCAGGGGATGGAACCAGGGCAGACACAGGGAGACCCACACCGCTGTCGTTGTCTGCATCGTTTGGTTCCTCGATTGGAGGAAGGGGACGGGCGGTGAGATCCGGCAAGGGTTTCGCGGAAGAAAGGGAGGAGGGAGTGCCTACACTTGTTCCGGTGGTCCCGGCACTGGCAGACCTCTGGATCTGACTAGGCACATGGGAATGACGGTCGTGCCTGTTGTCCGCCCGAGAATGCGAGACATGGGAAGGTGGCCATTCAGGGAGGGGGGGAAGCTGTACGAGCTCCCTCTTTTCTCGGGAGGGTGGGGTGGTATTTGGAGAATGGGGGTTGGAATTCGCAGACGAGCTAAGGGTATTGGTATCACTGCGGTCGCGGTCACGGGTACTGACGGAGTCTTTGTCCTTGTCCTTGTCCTTGGGGTCTTTTGAGAGGCCTCTGTTGAGCCTGTTGAATAAGGCTTTCATGGCCTCCAGGCCGAGCTACCAGTTGGAAAGAGATGGAGAAAAGGGTCGGTGAAGGATGTGAGATGTTCAGTGTAGAAGAGGGAGACGACAACGTGGTGGAAGCGCCTGCGATGCAGAGCTGGGCACAATTAGCGGTAGCTCAGAGGTAATCCGAAACTGAGAACGAAGCGAATCCAGTTCCGCGCTACAAATGCCAGCTGGAGTGTGAGGAGAAGCCTGGTTCTCCTGCTGAAATTCCGTCGCAACTCTCGCGAGATTATTCCCGCAGTACCATTGCTGAAAAGCTCAACGTCGACAACAAAACAACAACCGAACACAACCGCTGCTAAGCTACACGGTCGCTCCAGCTCTCACGACAAAAAACATACACTGCACATCAGAAACATATCACAAAACATCCCTTTTTCGTCCGCTTCTTCGTCTCCCAAACCCTCGGATTTGATCTTGTTGCCAACCTTCTTTCCCTCGTGTTATTCCTCTGGCAAGGTCGTGTTCCTCTTATCACAAGGTTATCGTCCACCTCGTGTCCCTGCCTTCATTCAGGAAACACCCATATCAGTCCAGATCTGACCCCTTCGTGTATTCACCACCTCTATTGCCAGTTCATGTCTGACGCACTCCATGGACGGTCCCTTCCTGCTCATCACACAAAACACCTGCCTACCCTCACGTATACTTGCAACGGTCATACCTTCCATCTTGGCCAGAGTGACGACGGAATTAGCAATGGCACCGCGCTCTGGCTCGGAGGGCAGGTCCTCTCCGCGTATACAGTCGACGAACTGAAAGGTTCCCGTGTACGTGCGCGGGCTGGTGAACAAAGACGTCCCCGGGCCGTGGAACTGGGCAGCGGGATAGGCCTCACGGCGTGCGTGTGCTTTTGCTCTCCCCAACACGGCTGGCCAGCTGAACTCGTTCCCTCCACGGATTCATACATCAACTCACGGCTCCACCCAATGGCGTCACCATTCATTGCATGTTGGCACATTGGATGATTGATGAATCGATTACTCCTCGATCACGGAAATAGCCTTGTGCTATGTTCGCTCGGATACGACGTCCTTGCTACTGACACCGCTCACGTATGCGATTCCGTACTGAGGCGCAACATCGCAGCAAATCTACAGCATCTCCCCAGTGGCGCCGGAACGATCCAAGTCCGTGTATTGGACTGGAATATCGACAGCGATAGGTGGCAGTGGGACCATCCGACGCGAATTACTCTGGCTGAGAATTCCTCACACCAAGGTGGCACAACGGAGCATTTGCTCGGTCCACCATTCGATCTCATCATATCCAGCGACACGCTATACGATGCATCACTCGTCGATCCATTTTTTCGCACTGTGCGTGCTCTATCTGCGTTTAGCTTTCCCGGACAGAGTCTTACCCCCCCTCTGTTTCTGCTTGCTCTTGAGCGACGTGACCCGCAACTCATCAATAATGCGCTGTCACGCGCCCCAGTGTCATTGACTCGAGTACCAACAAAGAAGCTCAGAAAGGCCCTCGAACGGGCGGGTATGTTATGGGATGCAGTCGATTGGGAAGGTGTTGAGGTCTGGAGGGGTTCGTTGAGTACTAGTCCAGGTAGGAATCCCGTGTGATGGACACCCCACGCGCTGTTGAGAGGTAGAACGTCGCCAGTGGGGCATGGCGTAACAGGTGCACACTTGTTTTTCACAACGTTTGCACATCCCAGTCGTGTATCCCACACCATCGCGTTCAATCCCGAAGAACACTGTCATTGACACTTAGGTAGAAAGACAACTAGCGGAAGGGATCAGAAAACTGTTCAGTATTTACGCCAGCGTTCTGTGTATCGTAGGGCTTCGTAAATAGAGCTTCGTAAAGTACTAAAGACTGCAAGAAGTCGTTAGATCGAGGATAGACATGGAACCATACTCCCTGAGCCCAAACTCATCATGGATATCCTAGTGGCATGGCGAAACGAAAAGAATAAAAAGTTCGGATACCGGGAGTCGAACCCGGGGCTGCTGTGATCCTACTGGCTTGGTTGAAAGACAGCCATGTTAGCCGTTACACCATATCCGATATGATAATTACGGTTTATGGAGCTCCAAGTATGCATGGTTGACCAAAGAAAGAGCCACTTGATCACTGTCATTAAGTTAGCCGTTACACCATAGATGCGTGTCTACGCATGCTTGCGGCTCCGGCCCGTTACCCGCTACACCATAATCCAATCCGACAGTAGGTACGGGATAGGTTGCCTCACTCACCTTGCGACGCAGCTGTCATAAAGCCGTTACATCGCATCCGATCTGACGATACTCGTTTACTGAGCTCCAAGGATGCGTGGTTTTCCGCGTCCAAACAACTCTTGGTCTTACGAGGAATTAGGAAACGAGTGTTCCGGATCCTGAGGGCGATGGGCCATCTAACAATTCGGCCATTAGAACGTCGATAGGGCCTGCAAAGTGTTTCGCTCTCTCCTTTGCGGAAAAAAAGGGGATAACGTGTAGATATAGCCAGTGATCGTGGTGACAATGGCGCGCTTGTCAAGCCGGCCAGGCGAAGCCAGAGAGAGATAGAAAACAAAGTTCTTGAGGCTCCCTGATTGCGCTGAGACTCGACATTTGCAAGAGAGCAAAAGACTTACCAGGACTCGGGGCTGATACTGGCTTGACCTCGCTACCGAGGGCCTTCGCTGCTGGGTGGCTGGAATGGACGATGAACTCACTCCAAAGATGAGGGACGCGATCGTGATTTTATAAAGTAAGCCAACGAAGCTTTTTCATATGGATGATATCTCCGAGAGGCGCAAAGAGTGCAGCGCGTGAGGCATCGCTGAAAGTTGCAACATTGTCTGCATAAATTTCGGCTGTGGTTTTTCTGTCTTTGATGCAGAGCACTACGGTCTGCAGTGAAGCAGGGGGAAAAGAGGCAACGATGGGGTGAGACAAGGACGGTCATCATTTTATAATCTCCAGGATATAGAGTTGAAAGCACGTCATTGCTCGATGACGCAGACGTTGTAAGTTGGGGGGAACGAGCGAGGATGTCCTCGACCTCTGTCTACGCATGCTGACTGGTCTGATGAGCTCGCCATTCAGTTTGATTACCAACCCTCGCAGAGTCGGGCTGGTGCACCACGTGAAGGTGATGGTCGCTGATCAGTGATGAATGCACACAGAGACGGCGGTTCTGAATAGTGACCCCTGACTGCCTCGTGAAACGTGAATGTTCAACGTTTTGACATCGGAGGTGAGCGGACTGTCGGAACAGAGACTGACAAAGTCGTATGCCCAAGGAAACAAATGCTGAAATAAGGGTAAAAGTCTGTTGAAACACGCGGTCGACCGAAGACAAATCATGGGATGGTCCACTGCAATAACCATCCCGTCCATGTACATGAACACATGCACGCTGTGGTCCCTGCGCTGCGTTGGCCTTGTTGTTGGTTGAGATAGGGTTGCTTCCGGGATTGCGGATGTTTGCGAAACCCGTGGTTGTGGCTGTGTCGAGCAGGGTGACGCGTCCCGAACTGTGTGGTTGTGTGCAATTATAAGACCACACCCTTTGCAGGCCACCTTGAAATTGTCCTCCCTCACCACACTCCAGCCCTCCGCATTTGTACTGCATCCTTCTCTCCACTTTTAAGCGGCCTCGTAGTAAGTTCCCCTTGTCACTGTTCGCTCGAACATCCCCTCATCTCCAGATCAGCTTATCTCTAGTTTTTGACCACATCATGGCTCCCAAGAAACGTTGCCAACTGCAAGCTGAAACCCCCTGCAATTCTGCAGTTTTGCGCATAGTTGGTCAATGCCCACATTGCCGAGTTGAATTCTGTGGCGCAGTATGTCAACGACACCTTCTACTCTCGTGTGACTTATACAATATCTGTTGTTCGCAGCACCGTCTTCCAGAGCATCACAAATGCAACAAACTCGAGGACTGCCGGCAGCAGGCATTTGAGAGGAATAAAGCGAAGCTCGAGAGCGAACGGACTGTGGCCTCTAAGATGGCAACGGCATGATGGCCCCTCTCTTTCTCTTCCACCCCTCCATCACGCGTCCGTGGTTTCCCTGGCATCATTCCGCTATCTATATCACTGTGATCTTGTCCCAACATATTTACTATCTATTGCGTTTCCACACCCCGTCATGATACATACATCGCTATTGCCATTGTTGTGACAGGACCAATCCAATCTCCATCCTCCTGCAGTCATGCCATCCTAGATTGACTTAGGACGACAGATACAGCCTTTCACTTTCGTTGTGGTCTCGTAGTTGTTTATATAGAACACCTCATATAACTTACTGGCCACGAAGTGCACATTACGAGATGGTCCAAGCTGATTGCGTCGGCAGACTTGCCAGCCACAGCGATAGCCCCGTCTCGAGGTCTCAATCTCCACACCTTGTCTTCCGTTATGGGAACAAGTGGAATTGCGATAGGATGAAGAGCGGAGGAGAGCGGTTGTTGAACGGAGCACCGTGATGGTCCATGAGGCAGGACATCTTGAAGCTTGTTGACACGGCTGGCATGGATTCAAAAAAGCGAACTTGAAGCCGCGTATGATCGCAGAATAGTTAATGGTCGTACTTCGGCGATGCGTTCGACCAGCGAAACTTTGAAATGACACCTGGACATTCGTCAGTTGGTGAGCTGGCCACCGTTAATGGAGGGCAAGCCGTGTCCACCCGTACCGTCTCCATCATGCCGTGTACACAAACAAGTCAGATATAGCCCCTTGTGACCTTTTCTACGAGTACTTAATCTCATAATCGCGGTTCGCTAGCACTGCAGTTTCCTTTCCCCTTCTACTACCTACTCCCGGGTAAGTGCTGATTCCAACTCATCGCATTATCAGAGCCGCAAGACGGCTACCACATCCAAATCACATGGATGCTAGATGGGTGTCACATGCGCCGATCTTCAAAGCTGCACAGCTATTCCAGCCAGCTCGCCTCATACCATACCATACTGGCCTCGATTCTAACGTCTAGTGCTCACCTCCATGACTTTCAGGCTTCAACAAGTCTATCAACACTTGTCCAATCCTATCAATATGTCAGGCGGTTAGTGTTGATTTGCTGACAAGCATCGTGATCGTTCATTCCATCTCGTAGAACTTTGGGAGGGTGTCCCCCTTGCACCACCGGATAGGTGTGTGTGCCGTGCCCCCAATGCCCTTCATGCCCACTAAACACAGTTGGCAGTATTTTCAAGCTTTCAGCTGCCTACAATGCCGATCCATACCCGAAGAAGGTCAACCTCGGCGTGGGAGCCTATAGAGATGACGATGGCAAACCCTGGGTACTTCCTGTCATTAAAAAGGTGTGTATGGTGATGTCTACGGACACTGATCGCGCCACCGACGACTCACCGATCATTACCGTCCTTCGCAGGCATCGCAAAGGCTGTTGAATGACCCCAACCTCGATCATGAATACCTCCCTATCACTGGGCTGCCAGAGTTTACCGCGGCCGCCGCGAAACTCGTGCTTGGTCCCAACTCATCTGCTTTAGCCGAGGGACGCGTTGTCAGTGTCCAAACTATTTCCGGAACAGGGGCCAATCATCTTGCTTCAGTGTTCCTAAGCAAGTATTACAATTTCAACGGAACGAAACAGATCTACTTGAGCAACCCTACATGGGGTGAGTCGACCGTAATATCTCACATACCGCTCTCAAGTTGGTGCAGTGATCCACCACACTATTTTCAAAAATGTTGGAATGACACCCATCGAGTACCCGTATTACGACCCTCGCACCATTGGTTTAGACTTTGAGGGTTTCAAGTCGACTGTGGAGAATGCCGTGCCACGCTCGGTGATTTTGCTGCATGCATGCGCACATAACCCTACCGGAGTGGACCCTACCAGGGACGAGTGGAAGGAACTCGCCGAGGTGATGATTGCCAAAAACCACTATGCGTTCTTCGACTGCGCGTACCAAGGTTTCGCCAGTGGCGATTTGAATAACGATGCATGGGCCGTGAGGTACTTTGCTGATAAAAAGATTCCCATGCTTGTATGCCAGGTAGGCGTGGTGTATTTCATGAGCCTACAGCGTTCGTTTTTACATACCCCCCTTTTTTATTTCAGAGTTTCGCGAAGAATGCAGGGTTGTACAGCCAGCGAACCGGGGCGCTCCACATTATTTCTCCGAGCAAGGAAACAGCCAATCGTGTGAAGAGCCAGCTTTCCATAATACAGCGAAGTGAGATCAGTAACCCTCCCTCGTACGGAGCGCGGCTGGTGAGTGATTCTGGGCGGTCTACTGGAGCACGTGGTGATGAACGTGGGACCAGATGTCGCTGATCCTCGACAGTCCGGAGCTGTTCGAAGACTGGAATAGGGACATCAAGACGATGGCACACCGCATCATTGCTATGAGGGAGGAGCTGTATCGCCTACTGACGGAGGAACTGAAGACGCCAGGTGACTGGGGACACATCACCAAACAGATTGGCATGTTCAGGTGAGTACGTACATGACGGGGACGTGTGAAATTGGATACTCATGCCGCAACAGTTTCACGGGCATCAACGCGGATCAATCGCAGGCGCTGATTGACAAAGCGCACATCTATCTGACAACGAACGGAAGGATATCGATGGCGGGACTCAACACCCACAACGTCAGATACTTTGCGGAGAATCTGGACAAGGTCGTGCGGGGTGAATTGTAGTGCTAGTCGACGGTTGCTGTGATGATGGAGGGTGTGTGATGGAATGTTCATGGAAGCCAATGGAAGGGGCAGTCTGGTGACGTCAAATGTACCTTGTGGCCATATGTGACGGATGACATCACTGGATTTGTACACTATTCTAAATTTGGATTACCTAAACATTTTCCTGCGATCTTTCGGAACCCTTTTCGTGGCAGTGTCCTCTCCATCGAATCGCGTACCCTCCTCGCCGTCGTCCACGTTCTCGAGGTCTTCACCTCTTCACCTTCCCCGATCTCTCTAATATCTGTCGCGACTCGCGGCCGACTGTGCCCTCGGTGCAGGTTTCATTTCACCTGCATCAGTAATGCGTCCGTTCCTCGCCCTATAACGGACTTGTGCCAAACTGATTA